CTTCATGCACTCACTCCTTATTACTGTGTACTACTAGTTGGTAGAAGCTCTTCGTGACTTCCTCGGTTTCAGAAACTGAAACTGCCAGCCGCCGTAGGTACTACAAGTACTGCACCAAGGTTTGTCTCACGACGTACTGCCGCAGCGCGAAGTCATTGCCAGTGATTGCGTCATAATGGTAGTCGATGACTACTACAATTCGCCGGGAGCCCTGACTCTTGTGGGTGTTTGAATATATGATGCGGCCCTGCCGAACACCAGCCCTATCAACACACCGCTCTCATGACCAACATCGACAACGTCCTGGACTCCGAAGTCCCCACTCAAAGCGAGGACGCGCAAGATGAAGGAACCGCCCAGGTGTCAGCAGTGGGAGCGCCAATAGAGAAGGCAACGACAATCCACCTGTATCTGATAAATACTCACATCGTCTACAGAGCAATCCTTTGGGTTACAAGGTTACATTACTGTCCTCTGTCATGCTCAATCTCGGGCGAATGCTCGGCGCGGGAATATATTCTGTCCCGGGCGTCATACTGAATTCTGTTGGCTCGATCGGCCTGCTCTTCACCTTCTGGCTATTGGCTCCGTTGTTTGCACTCGCAGGTCTCATGGTCTACGGTGAATATGCGAGTATGTTCCCAAAGAGATCCGGGGCAGAAGTTGTGTACTTGGAGCAGGCATATCCTCGTCCGCAGTTTTTTGTCCCAGTCATGTTCGCTGTAACTTCAGTTCTTCTGTCGTGCGTGCTACGGTTTGCATGTTGAATGAGATATTCATGGGATTGCTTCTACACTGATCAGTTTTAGCGCGACAAACTCTATTGTATTTGCGCAATATGCACTTACAATTTTCGATGTCCCCATCACTCCCGCAAGGCAAACCATTATTGCATTAGCAGTCTGTGCTGTTGGCGTGGGTTGTGAGCTTCTTTTGTTTCTTGCGCTAAAGTACAATCTGGAACTTGACCACGCAGTCGTTGCCCTGTCAACAAAATGGTCTTTAAGGGCCGTGAACTTTCTTACTGGGTTGAAGGTCCTTTCTCTTGTCTTGTGAGCACGCCGTTTACCATCTGTCATCTACTGACCGGTTGCCCTTTTAGCTTGGTCTTCACAGGCGCCCTTGTACTTAATGGTTTCACTCACATCCGCGATCCGTTTGCCAATTTTCGGTCCCCCTTTAGCGGTAGCACGACCAACCCAAATGCTTTGGCTACTGCCCTAGTCAAGACTAATTTTGCATTTGCTGGTTGGAGCAACGCATTTAACGTCATCGGGGAAGTCCAGACGCGCGATCCTGTGCGCACAGTGCGTAAAGCTGGCTTACTATCGCTGCTTTTAATCGCATGTCTTTTTTTCTTTGTCAATGTTGCCTACGTGGCAGCAGTGCCAAAGGACAAGATAAGCAATTCTGGGCAGCTCATTGCGGCTTTATTTTTCCAACGTGTATTCGGAGGGGGCTTTGCAGCCAAAACCTTGCCGATCATGGTTGCTTTAAGTTGCTTCGGAAACATCGTGTGTGATCTGTGTATTTCGCATGCCTGAGTTACTCACGAAATGCATTTCTAGATCGCTGTGGTGAGCAACCCATTTGAAAATTGCTTATCATAATGTGAAAAATCATATTCTGCCAGACTGTTGGTCAGACACGCGTATTGCGTGAGATTGCCCGACAGGGGCTACTTCCGTATCCAAGATTTTTTGCATCGACCAAACCATTTGGCACACCATTAGCACCCGTGTGTCTGAAGTACTTTCTCACAGTCATCGTGATAGTTGGCCTTCCAGCTGGAGATGCATTCAACTTCCTGTTGGACTTGGCTTCTTATCCGAATCTAGTAGGAATTTTACTCCACTGTCGTGTATTATGTGATCAACAAGTTGCAGGTGTTCAGTGCTGCAACTGCCATAGGATTGTGGCTTCTTCGAAGGCGGCGATCGCTCGCTGGCCTTGCGCCTTCGAAGTACCGTGCGAGGAATATTTACGTTTCCCTTTATCTCCTCAGCACGATATTTCTCCTCATAATGCCATGGTATTGTCCCTCCGAATCAATGTCTTGTAGCAGAACTGATTTATTCGACAAGGGTACCACCAGAACCTGGTCATGGTGACGTGTCTTTCTGGTACGCAATGTAAGTCTAATGTTGTTGCATTTTTGAGCCCACATTTGACCATATTCATTCAGTTACTGTGTGGTGGGACTTGGTATCCTTGCGGTGTGTACATCACTTACAACGCGACCCTACATAAAACTGACCCTTTACAGTTGTGCGGATTCTATTACTGGCTGTGGATTGTTGTCTTGCCACGGTTAGGGGGGTATACCATCGTGGAGGAGGTAGAACAATTGGAGGGCGGCGCGTTGACCGCACGGTTGACACGCAAATACCATGCGGACATTGATAACGGAGAGCATCAACCACTCATTGCCAGTACTTGATGGGCTTGAATAATTACAGTAACACTCCTCGTAGTGTAACACTAAAGCTCACGATCCCTATATCAGTATTGCACAAGTGCGTGGTTCCTGGTGCGAACGCAACTTCCACACCAAATCCAACTTAAGACCAGAGCGTAACATATTATCAGTTTGCCCATATATGGGTTGCTTTCTTTTATGTCTATTGCAAGGTGGGGCCGCAGCTGTCTGTGCGCGTTATTTGTTGGTGTTGACGGATGCTGGGTATTTCCGAACATTAAGCGATGTGATAGGGATGAGCCCACCCGAGCCCAAAGAATTGAGCAGCCCTACCAGAGTAACTTATATGCGTGTTTCGAAGGTTTTTCGTCGGCGAAACGTTCCACTACTGGTTCGAGTTGAAACTATCATCATGCCAAGTATTTTCTATCAAAACCTGCATTAGAATTGGTCAGACTAATATCCAATGCTTCAAGCCCCAATTCACGCTACAACCAAGCAACATGATGGAACGGAGACTTTAGCACAGTCCATGCCATGCTGCTCTCATTACGCCAGTTCTGAACACATTCATAACCCTGCATGATTCTCTGCCGGAAACCCATTTCCTCTTCCTTTCATCTCCATCGAATGGATTCGAAATACTCTGCCGACGCTGTCGCAGCCGCTTGGAGTCTCCAAATCTTTATGGTAATTTTCCTCTAGATAATGCGAATGGCCTCTGATGAAGTTCATTGCTCCTAGTTCATCTACAGTATGTGTTACTTTATCAGCAAACCGCATCTGCTAAGCAACAATTTAGCGTCGATGGCTACATTTTGGGTATGACCATCCCCATTTTCTCAATATAATATCATCTTGATCATTTGGTTCCTATCCAGACATACGACTATGTCTGCTCAATCAGCGAGGAGGTGACACGGATCATTTACAAGATCAACTCTTATCCTCACGATGCACCCCTTCAAGGGAATATTTTTGCTTTATTCCCGCTGGAACAGGGTCAAATTTTTGTACGTTGTGACACGGTATGTGCCTTTCCTTCTTTTTGTTGCGCACTTGTATTGTACGTCCCTAGTCTCAATGGGTCTAAGATACCATATTGACAGACTGTTGCCAGTGAACTTCGTCCCAGATGAGACTTCCAGTGTACGTTGGCTCGCAATAGATAAGAGCCCTGCTCACTTAAAGGCCAATCTAGACATGCCAAATTATCAACAACATTTGCTCAAGTACATCAAACTACATGTCGGAAATACCAGTCACTGATCTTTCCCCTCTTACAGCTTTTAGCCTGATATCCATTGTCTGCTCAGAATGTAAATGTTCTATTATCTTTATCGCGAGTGCAGAGTCTTGATTCCTCCAGGTTTCCTCATCCTCAGGACTTACGCACTGTGGAACAACAATAAGGTCGTTTTGACAGTTATGCTATCAACTTTTGCAGTGAGTTATGTCTAGTATCGCAGCTTTCTGATTCGAACACAGCATCAGGCTGTAATTGTGGGGTCTATAGTTGCCCTATTTTCCGCCACTGCGACTGCGCCGTGTATGAATTGCTCCCTTTGCCTGTCCGGGAATTTTGATACAGTTTTCATTTCACAGTCGAGACAAGTCCAATTCCAGGCATCACAGGCTGTTATCAGTCCTCAGGAAGTGTCAGGCTTTTTGTCCCTTTCCTTCTTTTGTTCGGATTAGAATTGAGTGCGTCAATGAGAATTGATTCATAAATGTCCTTTGAATCATGCTTGATGCAGTGCTGATTTCACTCACGCTCACATGCGCCATACGAAATTGGTGTGCAACCGAGAACCGTTTGTATGTTGTTGTATTGAAACACAACGTGCTTTATTATGCATGTGGTCTGTGTAAGTGAGAGCGTGGGGTGGTCGATCCTTGCTCATCTTTCCTACAGTTTTCTCGACCGTGAACGTTCTGACGTCGCTGCTACTCGATGTATGTCATCTATCTGCTGAATATATTCCTGTAGTTGAGATTTCATGCAGTATGCCTATAGCGGCATGTTCCAAGAGTACGTCTCTGCCAAGGTTTGCTGGCAAGCAACACTTACTTATCATGTGTCTAGTTTCCAATTTATCATTCATGCCATACTCGCCACTCGAATGCATCTCCATCTGTGGCATGCTGACCGCAATCGCGATTGTAATGCCTCGGATTCAATTTCTCTCTCCCAGTTGGCGCCCGCACCTCATATTGAGTCAGCCTAAATATTAGCATATGTGCCCTCGCAGGGCGGTCTGGAAGGAAGGGGAGATTGCAATCGACTGCTCCAGTGGGCTCGCCAGGCGAGATCGGATCATCACTTGCGATGTTGTGACGGGGAAACTTGTGCACGGGCCCAAAGTGGCTCCTGGAGTGCCACAGGCAACTCTCGTTGAATGGTCTGTCCGGATCGATGGGGGTTGAGTTCAGATGTGAAGATCCACTGTATGATAAGTGGATATACTATTTATGAGGTGCGCTCCTTACTTTGTCGTGAAAGCTGCATGTAAATATCCTATGAGTCGAGCTCATGCAATGTATATGTACAACCGCTGGGTTGGACGCGCAGGTACAATTGTCAGCGGAAGACACAAAGCATATAGCTCGTCGATTTCCTCCGTATATATACGTCTTGGATCAACTCGATGCTAGTGTGGTACTGGAAGATCCTCTCTGCAGTCTACGACATATGAGTTATTGAGTATTATCAGTGAGCACTGTCAGCATCACATCTCACCTTAGAAGCTCGCTGGAGATTACTCATAAAAGCTTTGCCGAAGGAGACAGATTGGAGCGCCTCTGCGGTCATCGCAGCTTGTGCAAGATCAGTGGCATTGAGCTGTGTGTCTAGCTGACCCTGTATGATTCTGTTGCGATTTGAGTCTGTATCTCTGTGTCTCACGACAAACACCCGAGCAGGGGTAGTCATGGAGCTTATGAGGAACTGACTGAGGACTTAGAGCTAAGCCGAGATGGCTGGTAAGGCAACGAGTCTGCTTCCTTGTCGCCACCATATTAATCTGAGCTGTCCGTATGAATGGAGTAGGAGGTGCAGGGTCGAGGGACTCGGAGCCGGGAGCATATCCTAGTGGATCAGGAAAGTTCACGGAAGATGCTTGCCTTGTGTTGATGGTCTTGATACAGTCTCGTAAGCAGAAACGGTACGTGTGAACGCAAAGTGTGGCAGTGAAGACGACACTAGACTACTGTATAGATACGCACTTAGGTTCGTCACAGCGTCACACGCCTGTATCTGCTGCAGATGCTTGCAATCAAGAACGACTCGGAGTACTCCGTGACGTCCGTCCCTGGTTCCTGGTTTGATCAAACAGGGTTCAAATTTATGTAATCCCAGCCTTCTTTTACTATAAGTATTACGGTTACTGCAGTGTTACTTAGGTTCGAACCGCATTGCGTCCGCATGATGCTTCGATAATCGATATCAAGGTTTTTCATCAGCGAAACGTTCCACCAGGTTCGAGGTAAAGCTATCATATCTCCTATCAAAACCTGCGTCAGAGTCGGTAAGACTGATATCCAGTGCCTCAAGCTCCCAATTCACGTCATAACTAAACAATGGAACGGGAAGTTCAGCATAGCAAGACTCGAGCTGATGATCACAGTCGATGTCATGCTCTCATCATCATGCCAAGTGTCCTCTATCAAATTCTGGGTCAGACTGATATCCAGCGCTTCAAGCCCGGTTCACGTCACAACTAAGTAATGGAACGGGGACTCAAGCTGATGATCACAGACCATGTCATGCTCTCATTATGCCAGTTCCAAGCACATTCTTAATCTTCCATGATTCTCAGCTGGAAATATCGCTTCCTCTTCCTCCCATCCCCATCGAATGGATTCGAAATACTCTGACGACGCTATCGCAGCCGCTAGAAGTCTCCAAATATTTACGGTAACTTTCCTCTGGACAATGCAAATGGTCTCTGATTTGAAGTCCATTGCTTCTAGTCCATATACGGTATGTATTACTTCATCAGCAAACCGCATCTGCTAAGCAACAATTCAGCGTCGATGGCTACATTTTGGGTATGACCATCCCCATCTTCTCACTCCAATATTCATCTTGGTCATTCGGTTCCTACCCAGATATACGACTATGTCTGCTCAATCCGTGAGGAGGTGACACAGATCATTTACAAGATCACCTCCTATCCTCACAATGCACCCCTTCAAGGGAATATTTTTACTTTATTCCCGCTGGAACAGGGTCAAATTTTTGTACATTGTGACACGATATGTGCCTTTCCTTCTTTTCGTTGCGCACTTGTATTGTACGTCCTTAGTCTCAATGAATCTAAGATACCATATTAACAGACTGTTGCCAGTGAACTTCGTCCCAGACGAGACTTCCAATGTACGTTGGCTTGCAATAGATAAGAACCTTGCTTATTTGGAAGCTGATCTAGACATGCCAATTTGTCAACAACATTTGCTCAGGTGCATCAAACTACATGTCGGATTTACCAGTCGCTGACCTTTTCCCTCTACAGTTTGTAGCCTGATATCCATCGTCTGTTCAGAATGTAATTGCTCTATTATCTTTATCACGAGTGCAGAGTCTTTATCCCTCCAGGTTTCTTCATCCTCAGGACTTGCGCGCTATGGAATAACAATAAGATCGTTTGGGTAGCTACGCTATCAACTTTTGCAGTGAGTCACGTGCAATATTGCGGCTTTCTAATGTGAACGTAGCATCAGGCTGTAATTGTGGGATCTATGGTTGCCCTCTTTTCCGCCACTGCAACTGCGCCGTGTATGAATTGCTCCCTTTGCTTGCCTGGAAATTTTGACCCAGTTTTCATTTCACAGTCGAGACCAGCTCAATTCCAGGTATTACAGGCTGTTATCAGTCCTCAGGAAGTGTCAGGCTTTTTGTCCCTTTCCTTCTTTTGTTCGGATTAGAACTGAGTGCGTTAAAGAGAATTAATTCATAAATGCCTTTTGACTCATGCTTGATGCAGTGCTGATTTCCCTCACGCTCACATGCGCCATACGAAATTGGCGTGCAACCGAGAACCGTCTGTATGTTGTTATATTGAAACACAACGTGTTTTATTATGCATGTGGTCTGTGTAAGTGAGAGCGTGGGATGGTCAATCCTTGCTCATCTTTCTTACAGTTTTTTCGACCGTGAACGTTCTGACGTCGCTGCTACTCGATGTATGTCATCTATCTGCTGAATATATTCTTGTAGTTGAGATTTCATGCAGTATGCGTATAGCGGCATGTTCCAAGAGTACGTCTCTGCCAAGGTTTGCTGGCAAGCAACACTTACTTATCATGTGTCTAGTTTCCAATTTATCATTCATGCCATACTTGCCACTCGAATGCACCTTCATCTGTGGCATGTCGACCGTAATCGTGATTGTGATGTTTTGGATGCAATTTCTCTCTCTCAATTGGCACCCGCATCCCATGTCGAGTCAGCCTGACCATCAGTGTATTTGCTCTCGCAGGGTGGTCTTGAAAGGTTGCGATGGATTGCTCCAGTGGGTTCGCCCGGTGAGATCGGATCATCACCTGCGATGTTGTGACGGGGGAACTCATGCACGTGTCTGAAGTGGCTCCTGGAGTGCCTCAGTTGAATGGTCTGTCAGGATCGACGAAGGTTGGACTCGGATGTGAAGATCCACTGTATAACAAGTGTATATACTACTTATGAGGTGTACTCCTTACCTTGTCTTGAATGCTGCATGTAAATATTCTATGAGTCGAACTCATGTAATGCATACAACATGACATATGAATGTATGCTGGGTTGGACGCACAGGTACACTGCAGACAGAAGTATTATTCTCAATCATTTTTTATTTCCAGTAGTAACGACTCGGATGAGTAAACTGCATTTGCTGTATCTTTCCCTAATTCATCATTGATAACAACATCCAATGTCATGCCGATTCCGCACTCTTGAAAGAGTCGTGCACAGTTGACCGCATCTGTACGAGGTTCAAGTACAACACGTTGGGGAGTGAGACCTTGCGGGCCATTGAACGTTGTCGTACATGCGGGTCGCAACTTGTAAATTGTTCCCAGTTTGAAATCCAACTTGACCATGCATGCGGGATTAAAGGAGAAGGAGATGTGATGCACCACAGGGGCTCAAGTGCTCAAGTGAAATTGCTTCCCTGGGCTCGGGATCCAACCATGACGTGTGGCGCTCCGCGCTTGGTACAGCATGTAGATGGCTAGATTGCTTTCTTTCCTGAAGCAAACATAGAATGTCATTAACAGCAAGCCTCAATCGAACATGTTGTACATGATCGCTTGTATTACGAAGGCGTCTGGACAGAACTCCCGAGGTTCCAGTGCAAATGCTCAGGCTGTGACATTGCATGGTGGAATAGTGAGTGACTACAGGCCAAGCCTCGCTGGCTGACTGCATGCTAGATCTTCTTCGCTGCGCCAAGATGTCCCAGTCAACTTGGGAAGTTGCGAACAGGAGTTATCAGTCACTTGGACCAAACAAATGGAAAGTTGAAGTAGCGTGTCTGAGCTCAGGTAGCTGATAACCCAAGGGTTCCGCAGCGTAATTATTCTTGTCTTCTCCTGAATCAGCATCTCTTTGAACACAAAGGAGTCGAGAAGATCTGTCGAATGTAACAGGGATCATATCCCCGATTTTGCTACCAGTCCGAGTTGTTGCAGCTGGCATCTGTTTGGTTTATTCGAGTTTACCTAAATCGAGTGAATTCTCAGTGATGCGATACGACAGAGCTTGGCTTTGAACCTACATGGCTGGCTCAAGGCATGCCTGGGAAGTCATTGGGTAGTTCCTAAATGAACTCATCGCTGATGGCCCTTCTCCACGCCGTCTACCTTCAATGGCACCTGTGAGTTGATCAGCCTATTTCTATTGAATGACTGAGGGTCATGGATAAGAGCAGAATGAGCCAGGCGCATGCCTACCCCCATATCATCCATCTGGGCAGCAGAGAAGTAGTAATGAGTCGTGCGTGAAGGTGAAAGTCGGCTGTCGTTGTCCTCCGCAACTATTGGTAAGGATTATTGTGATTTGGCGTCACATCAGATCATCAGATATCTAGGTCTATTCTCGTTGCGGGTGCTACTCATTGCCGATCGACGTCTGTTCAAGCATGGTTCGAGCATATCGAGCATAACGGTTTAAAAAGAGACTTACAATGTGAGTATATGCATCTTTCACAAATGAATACGCGTGGCAAGGAGATGAGAAGTGCTGAGAGGGGAGTAGAGAAGAGAACCGGGGGCTTCAAGTCGGAAGGCGTCAAGCGGACCTGGAAATGTATCAGTAAGGCGCCGAACACGATATTTTGACATACGTACTTCGATCAGACCACACTGGCTCTATCATGTATCTGAGCAAAGCAGAAGAAGAAGCGAGAGGGAGTCGCGAAACTCCAGATGGCTGATAATGCGCCAGATCAGTGAGAACACCTGGCCACCCTCTGAGCCGCAGAGAAGGAGTGCCGAATCATGTGTGAAGGGTAGAAGCAATGGTGTCGATGTCCTGGAGACCACCAATGGACTGATTGGGCATTGATCATCTGATCGAACCAACCTATTGCTGACCACTATCAGATAGTCATGTCTTCGACCAAAATTGTTTGGTTTATTCAGCGATGCGGAGTATGATGGTTTTACAAACTTATGGTTCGAGTATTACGGATGCGCATGGTAAGATGTGCTGTGCTGAGCGAAGAGTAAAGCATACCTGACAAAGTATCACTAATCCACCAGTTGTCTGAGCACAGAATACGTGTGGAATCATCCATCTAGGCCGAACATGTGGAACGAGATACAGAAGCTCTGTGAAACAGTAAAGTAAAAGTAGCGGCCTAAACTCAGATGGCCGATAGCCCCCAAAGATTTCACAACAGCAAATCAATTCGAGATCCATTATCTATCTGAGTGTAATGAAGGAATGAGGAGAAGTGACCGTAACGAGTAGAGGCCCAGATCACTGATAATACAGCGGCTCTGGTTCACAGGACACAACCACCGTGATACCTGCAATCTGGACTTGACTCAGGCGAATGGGAAAATTCACGTTTATAAAAACAAATAAAGTGTGGGGAAAATAACGGATGGGATGCGAGGGATAGCATTGAATTGATGGCAATGATTCTTGATGCCAGTGTGGAAACCAAGATGGCTGGTAAGGCAACAAGTCTGCTTCCTGGTCGTCACCATATTAATCTGAGATATCCATATTGAATGGAGTGGAAGATGCATATGCGTGGTTGAGGGGAGTCACTGGCAGTTTTAGACAAGCACTTGCTCGGAGAGGGCGTGACTGCGCAACGAGAAGTGGTGTCATACTGTTTCGTAGAACCTGTGGAAGCTTGGTTGAAAAGAGTGTTTCACGGGAGATGCTTACCTTGTGTTGATGGTCTTGGTTGTAAGAAGAAATGGCACGTGTGAATAATAGACGTAACGCAAAGTGTGGCAGTGAAGACGACCATTGTACCAAATAAAGGGAGTAATTACGACCAAGGCAGGTGACTCCTATCAACAATCATGTTAGTCGCGCCTGGTGGATAATTCTTCTCTGTGGCAGCAGGCCATTGCATTGAGTGCTGACTTGGGTACAGGTTCGAAGGAACCGAGTAAGATCCAGATGATAACAGAGTGCTAGAAACTGAAATAATGGGGACCGCCGATCAGTGAACCAGTGCTAATGGGTTCTTGCTGGTGATTATACTGATTGCGGCGCATTTACACGGTCATTATGATATTGCTTTAAATTCCAATGTGACGAATCCTGACAATCCTATATCTTCTTCTCACCAGTTCTCTGATCGGCGGCGGCCAAGTCTACCTTGATTCATCAATCGAAGACTTCCCCTTTTCTTGATTTTGCATCGCAATAGTTACCCAACCCATTTCAAGGGCCTTGAGGCAGGCATAGATATTCATCACCATCATGCCGATTTTGGCGATACAAGCGCTGAACGGTGGTATATCTAGCACGAACACTAGCCTGATCGTTATAACCCCCACTCCCTCACTCCCATCCCTCGAGTATGACCACAGTCTCAAATGATCCCAGTTGGTGGCCGATAATCAATATGAATGTATCTTTAAGCTATTGGTTTGGTTCGTCGTGTCAATTGGTGATGTCTCGAGCGACGAGCTAACGTTGACCTGCTGTTCCACAGTTGCTGCCGGCGTCGTTGTGGTATACGATTGGGGTGAGCAGGATAGTATTCGAAAACTGCTGGTATTCTCATGATATTTCCAGTGCTATCATTCGGACAAGAGGTAGGTCGGTGCTAGTTGCCTGAGTAGCTAACTCGCTAAGAATGGTGTTATAGATTGAATTGGTCTGGGTCAGTGACATTCTCATTAGAAGAAAAACAGGAGAAGACAATGGATTTTTGGCAGAGGCAACGCTGGTCTCTCATAACTGTGCTGTATCTGGTTGTTCGTACCTCATGTTATACTATAGCGTGGTTGCTGATTCCAAAATGTTCTAGCTACGCTATATTGGACTACCATATTCCTTGTATGTTTCAGAGGCCAACAGATTGGCGCTGTGCTAATAGCTCATCTCTGACGATTAGTGCCACTACTCTGAGTATGTCTCATATACACTGTGTCCGATTCTTCTGACTGACACAGCACGTAGCAAATATGCCATTGGTCTCGCTAACAAATGCAGTGAGTAT